ATTGAGGGACACAGAGAAAAGATAACATGCCCAAGGTGACACAGGAACTTAACCCATACCTCTGAGACCCAGTTTAGTGCTATAAACACCCAAGACTATCCTTTCTCCCCAAAGGATAATTTTTTTTCTAACCCCTGCCAATTAGCGACTAGCTTACCCTAGAAGCATGGGGTTTGTATCCTTATTTAAAAAATCCTAATACAATTGTGAAGGGACTTATTTTCCATGCAAATTAAAAAATGTAGTCTGTGAACAGTGATTCCTCTTTGAAGGTGTTTTATTTTTAAAATTGTCCCCCATCCTCTGAGTTCCTTCCCTCTTCTTTCCATTTCATTCACAATCATTTCAAAATACTGTATTTTCCCTTACTTTATTGTCTGTTCTCTAAGTTATTTACTCATGCATTTGTCTGTCCTTGTCAGGGTTTTTTAGTTGATATCTTTATAAAGTTCTCCCTTTGTGTAAGTGGCATCTCCTTGTCTTTCCACAAAGGCCCTCCTTGGTGGTGATGCTGAGGCCTTTGGTACAACTGCAAGCTATAAATTTCTCTGTCTAAAATTAGATTTCTTCCCTCAGGGATCTCAGATGGTCTTCAAACTATCAAATCCAATCAATCAGAAAGGTGATTTAACTTGCAAAAAGTGAGGAGTTGCATTAAAAGAAATGTGCTGTGGTTCAGTGCAAGCCTCATTACCCAATAATACAGACTGACTCAAATCTTCTTTTCTAGACAGGCTTAGTCTGTCAATTGAAAAAGAGAAGAAAAATGGCAGTCTTTGGGTACGTCTTCACTACCCGCCGTATCGGCGGGTAGCAATCAATTTATCCGGGATCGATATATCGCGTCTCGTTAAGACGCGATATATCGATCCCCGAATGCGCTCACTGTCGACTCCGGAACTCCACCAGAGCGAGCGGCGGTAGCGCAGTCGACGGGGGAGCCGCGGCCGTCGATCCCGCGCCGTCTGGACCCCAGGTAATTCGATCCAAGATACTTCGACTTCAGCTACACTATTCGCGTAGCTGAAGTTGCGTATCTTGGATCGATCCCTCCCCCCCCCAGTGTAGACCAGCCCTTTAGTACCTTGTTGACCATAGCATCCCTTGAGTCTGGTTGCAGAAGAATGTCCATTTGCCTTTGAATTATAAGTAGAGCAATATTGCCATGTGTATTTTCTTGTCAAATATTACTCTTTAGTAATGTCGTCTGACAGTGTTGCTTTGCCAGTGTTTCCTTTGCAATCACATTCAGTTACATATATTTCACATTTAAAGGGAAGATATGTGACAAGTGATAGCACCTGGTTTTCAAGATGCATTATCTCTGAAATTAATAGAGAACAGTACACAAATCTGCAGTCAGATTGCAAAAGACATAGACCCAGTTCCTCAAAAATCAATGGAAGTTAGGAATCTTAATACCATTGAGGATCTGGGCAATAGTTATCATTCTAACCTATCTTACCTGCTTTTTGTTCCAGTTACTGAAGCATCTTATGGAATTCCAGTGACTTAGGCCATGTCTACACTGGTGAGCTTACAGTGGCACAGCTGTACCGATGCAGCTGTACCACTGTCTGATCGCTTGTGTAGCTGTTCTATGCCGACGGGAGAGAGCCCTCCAATTTCTAGATTTGACAGAATAGCTAAAATGGGCAATAAATCTGAGTCTTCCTCCTTACCTAGAATGGAGGTGATTGAACAGAAAAATCCCTGCAGCATGTGAGATATGGGATTGTGTTGATATCAAAGAAATCTGTATGATAATTAAATTTATTGCTCTCTGTAGACTATGGTAGTTTAAAAACTCTTAGAACAATTACACTTACCTTTAGATGCTACTAGAGTTGAATGAAGCAGGAGTACCCTGCCTGAAATTACTGATTATAATGTGTAATGAAGAACCTCTTGGATGGCTGGATCTGCCACTGCATGACAGAAATTAAACAAAGATTTTAGATAACAGACTAAATCTGAGGAACTCTGCTTTTATGAAGTGAGGGACTAATTTAAAGAAATTGTTTCCCCTCTAATCAGAAAAGCTTTTCAAAACTTGCAGTAGTGACAAAAGGAGATCAAGCATTCACTTTTGAATTCTTCAAAGCAAAACACTAAAGTTGAAAATTGCTGACAGCACTTCCTACTTCTTTCATTCTGACAATCTTCAAAGGTTCCCATCTCCACCTCTATACACACTACCTAATATTTAACAATCAAGAAAAATGTTTTCTTGTGATGATTTTTGTTTTGTAGGGGAGAAGTGACCTCAAAATTAGTAATTGTGGAGAAGGCCCCCTTTACAACAAATTCATTTTATGTCTGTGGGTTCGCTTTTCCTCTCTTCACAAATGCTATACTGACTCTTATATCCAGTGATGATTCTACCAGGCTATAATGAATCAAAACAGGAAATACAGAACCTTTGCTCCAAAGAATTCAAAGTGTTTTACAAATATTAATAAAATCTCACAGTACCTCTTTTGAGTTTCACAGCTAAATATGAGGTGGAACAGATTATTTAGCATAAAAGACAAAACCACCCTATCACCTGTGGACAAACACTTTTCACAAAATGATCTGACCTGTCAGTCCTTGTCCTCAAGGCAATCCTGCACAACTAGGGTTGCCAACTGTCTAATCACACAAACCCAAACACCCTTGCCCAGCCCCTGCCATGCCCTTTCCTGAGGCCCCACCCCTGTCCTGCCCCTTCTCTGAGGCCCCGCCCTGCTCACTCCATCCCCCCTCCCTCCGTCACTTGCTCTCCCCCACCCTCATTCACTTTCACCGGGCTGGGACAGAGGTTTGGGAGATGGAAGGGGGAGCAGGCTCTGAGCTGGGGTCGAGGGGTTTGGAGTGTGGGAGGGGGCTCCAGGCTGAGTCAGGGGAAGGGGGTTGGGGTGCAGGCGGGAGTGCGGGGTGCAAGCTCTTGGAGGAAGTTTGGGTGCTGGAGGGGGCTCAAGGCTGGGGTGGGGGGTTGGGGAGTGGGAGGGGGTGCTAGCTCTGAGAAGGACTTTGGGTGTAGGAGGGGGCTCAGGGCCGGGGCAAGGGGTTGGGGTGCAGGCACTGGGAGGGAGTTTGGGTGCAGGAGGGGGCTCAGGGCTGAGGTTGGGATGGGGGAGGGGGTGAGAGGTGCGGGCTCCAGACGAGCGGCACTTACCTCAGGCGGCTCCCGGGCAGCGGCACAGTGAGGCTAAGGCAGGCTTCCTGCCTGCCCTGCCCCTACGCCGCTCCTGGAAGCTGTCAGTATGTCCCTGCAGCCCCGGGGAGGGGGGGGAAACAGGGGGCTCTGCACACTGCCCCTGACTGCAGGCACTGCCCCTGCTGCTCCCATTGGCCGCAGTTCTCGGCCAATGGGAGCTGTGGAGTCAGTGCTCTGGGTGAGGGCAGCACGTAGACCCCCCTTGACCTCCCACACCCAGGGGTTGCAGGGACATGCCAGCCGCTTCCGGGAGCGGCGCAGGACCAGAGCAGCCAGGGAGCTTGCCTTAGCCCTGCCACGCCACCAGACTTTTAGCGGCCTAAAATCTCCCAGTTTGGCTTCAGCAGCCTCCGGGAGACAGAGCCCGATTCCGGGAGACTCCTAGCGAAACCAGTAGGGTTGGTAACCCTATGCACAACACCTTCAAACAACTAGCATGGGAGCTTAAATTAATAATTTTGCTACACGTTAACAATCTTGGTCTTAATAAAGACCTTGGATTTGTGGTTTGTTACAACAACCTGTAACCCACTAACCCCTCTTTTTCTGTTTGATGTCTGCAGAGATGTAACAGGGCACCTCCCTTAGAATATATGTTAATTACCTATGCTAAACAATCTGTTCCACGTTCTATTTTGCTGTGACACTCTGAGTACTTTCCCAGGCCTGAAAAAAGCTCTGTGCATCTCAAATCTCAAAAAGTTGTCTCTTTCATCAATAGAAGTTGGTCCAATAAAAGATATTTCCTCACGCACCTTGTCTCAGTTATTTACAAGACATGCAGGAACTATAACAACCTAAAAATGTGATATCCAAAAACTTAAAAAATATGGACATGGTCCTTACATTACTGACAACCGTATAAAAAGATGTCTGTTCTAACTTCAAAACCATTTTATAATGAGGTAAGTAATTGATGGTCAAGCCATTTCCTGGGGATTAGTGACCAGTCCCTGTGTAGATCTGAGCCTTGGTGACTGGCCTGTAATTCCAGTGCATTTCTGTAACAACCTACCTATTTAAAAACTATTTTTAATTTTGGAATTAAAAATTCATACAAATTTTAACTTAGATTTTGTTTAAAATTATACAAGTATATGTTAAAAGGATGCCACTAATACAATAATCACACTTCTGCCTGAGACATGTTTAAAACCTACTATGGTTAAAAGTAATACAAAAAATACTACAACTAAAAGATATTACAAGGAAAAACATTTTCTCTATTGCTTTCAGTTTGCGTATTTGACAGCACTTTGGCCCTGATCTTCCAAGAAGAACTATGTAGGCAGAGCCCCAACAAAGTAAACAAATGCAAAGGTCCAACCCCGCAAAGGGAGCTTGCAGGATCCAGGTCCTTTACATGTAATCATTTTAATCAAAGTCAGTTTTCACTGTTTGTCCAGGTTTTTCATATAGAAACAGGAGAGAAAAATTTTTAAAACAGAAAAAATCAGCTGTAAAATAAAAAATTATAGGATGCTTGGGCAAGTGTCTTACCTGAAACTAAGTTTAATTTGTATTTGGATGTTGACTAGAATTCAAGCTGATGCTGTTCCTAAACTCTCTCTCTCTCACACACACACACAACATTCTTTGTTATGCAATTATAAGATGACGTAGTCTACAAAATCTCACTCTTGTGGTTCATACTATGAAAAAGTTTGAACACCATATGTAAATAAATAGACTTTGCTAGTAGTAATTGCATTAATGCTGAGATGCTGTTTCCATTCTTACACCACTTGCTCATAACTAGAGCCCTGCGCGGATACAAAAAAAAAAAAAAAAAAGGTCCATGGATATAAACCAGGTGTCTGCAGATTTGCAGAACTCTAGATACAAAATTTGTATCTGTGTCTCATCCGTGATTCACAAAAATGGTCCACGGATATCTGCATCCGCAGGTGCGTGTATCCATAGATACAAAGCAGATATCTTCAGATTTGCAAGTCTCTACTCATAACTTCTTTAAAAAAAAATCCTTTGGGGGTGAAACTTTCCATACTGAAAAACAGATTTTGCTGAAAAAAAGTTTGAGCAAAATGGGCTCTGCTATTTTACATGGTAAGGGAATTCTTGCTCCTTTCCCATGAATTCTAAAGTAAAATGTTGTGGCCATATAAGTAAAAAACGGCTGAAGCAAGAAACTTCTAACATGACTTATTTTACAGTCTTTACTGAAGGAGACAGACTTAAGACCTGGCTCCAACAGAGAGAAGAAGCCTCACTCTGGCTTTGGCTGAGTAATAGACCTAGTCCTTTAGGAGCTCATCAGCACTTGAGTGGTGACTTGGATTTGATAACTCTTTCTTCCATTGCCAAATAAATCCCATGGTACTAGCCCTTACAAGTCCGGAATCTTTTAATCATGGGGCTGTGTTGAAGAAGGTGACAGCTGCTCAGTCACTGTGCATTGCTGATCTCCCTGACCTGCAATAGGACTGCTTAATTCTTTTCCTTCTTCCCCCACAGGGGGACAAAAATCCCTAAAGTAAAGGAAATATGGAGGGTAAGGCTGGGACAGAAAGGACTGGGAGGTGACCCAGGCAGAGACAGAAGGTGGCTTTCGTTGGGGGTGGGGCTGTCAAGGTGAGAAAGAGCGGGGAACAGACCAGTACTGGGGGTTAGGGAGAGACGAAGGGGCCCTGGGAATACAGAAAGCCCGGAGGGGGATTAGAGCAGAGCAGAGATGCGGTAGCCAAGGCGAGGGGAGGGAGGAACTGGGTGTTCCGTGAGACACGGAGGGGCGGGGCGCTCTCTGCCACCGGCTAACCGCCCTCGTGTGAACGGCTCCACCAGAGCCCCTCACTCTCTGCCTCCGCCTCCTCGTGGCCACGTGGCCTGCAGGGCGGCCACAGGTATGCGTCGCGGGGGCGGAGGAGCGGCTCCTGGGGCTGAGGCAGCGTGAAGAGCCCTAGGAGTGGGGACAGGGATCGGTGCCGGGGAGGCGATGGGGAGAGGAGTTCCCGAGGATCTGAAACACAGCGAATGAGGTGTAGGGAAAGGCCCGAGGGTGCAGGGGCTGCAGAATGAGGTGGGGGCGTTTCCTAGTATTTGAGGGAGGGGCATTGTGGGTGCAGACTGAGGGGTGGAGCCCCGGAATTTGGGGCTCCAGGGGAAGATATGTGACATGAGTGGGTTTTTACTCCAAATTCAGTAGTTGGTGATACCACAAAAAACAGTCCTGGTATTTTGCTTGGAATGGCTGGAAGATGCACAATTGCCAAGCCTGGGCACTGACCCTGGAGCCTGGCCCACGGCACAAAGAGCTGTATTTCCCTTCATTTCTTGTATTTCTTGAGAGAAATCCCAAACCACATTTCTTTCAATGATGAGACAGCCCAAGAAGGCTTTGAAGGCCATGCAAAGGCAACATTGTCAGTAGCCTTGTCACAAACATGTTTGATAGCTATTTTCTAATTAGACCTGCCAGGGAGCTGTTCACCACAGATGCAAACTATGAGCATTGAACTAGAAAGACACCTATTCAAAAGACTTTGCACTGCCTAGCTTACCCGATTCCTGCTGACTTCATTCATAATTTATCATGTTATTAATATTATGAAACCCTTGTTTTTAGGTTTAGGAGGATATTTCTTTCCAAACATCTATTTGTACAAAGATGTAACAAGTAATGGGGAAAAATGCAGAGCTTGGAAGTGCAGTAATGATTATCTTTCCAGTGAGACATTGCATTTTATTAGCAATGTCATGTAAAACTTTACTGCAGGCACTGATTATATGCCTCTAATTTGTAATAAATCTAAAGCTAAGGGCTGACTGAACCTTTCATGTTATATAGGAGCGTTAATCATAAAAAAACCACTTCCTGTTATTTGCCACTTTACATAAAATATATTGAGCCAAACAAATACGCAAACAGTAAATATAAAACAAAGCAGATGAAATAGGAAAGGCATGAAAATGATATTTTGGGTAGGATATGCTATTGTTTGAAAAATTAGCCAACCAGACTACAGAGTGGATTGTGCTGACACCTCTTCTCCCCTCCTGCCCCTCCCCCCCCCTTGGATGGACAAAGACAAACAAGCTGTTGGGAAATGGCTGATTTCTATTATGACTGTGTAAAGGGTATTTTCATTGTCAAATATGGTGAAAGCCTCATTTTGTTCCCATTGACATCAGTAAGAATTTTGTCACTGAATATGAAAACAGGATCACATCTATATTTGCTTAATTATGAAGTGAGTACCACAGAGAATAATAAACTGACAGAATTTGTTGTGAAAATGTTTCAGAAACATAATTTATTTTTAATTTTTAGCGTGGACAGTATGATGGATACGAATCTTCAAAAGGATGATCTCACAGGAACAATTAAGTTCATACCTCCCCTGTATAAACAACGTTACCAATTCATTAAAGATTTAGTGATTAAATACAAACCTAAGAAGGTTGGTATGTTTGTTTTTTCAGAGCTTAAATTTTAAAAGATACAGTAAATGCTGGCACAAGACATCTAGAAACAGGAAATACCAGTGTTGTCTGACTTTTAATGCCAAGAACCAGCACTTCAGGGAGTTTTGTTAAATCTGAGTTACCTTGGCAAACTATTCTTGGCAGCCATGTTTGGCTTTTTCTAGGCTCATACAACTAGTCAACTGAAGAAAAAACACTTGAACTCAAGTGTTCTTTGGAGCTTAAAAAACATAAATAAAAATATGTTTGCCTCTTGCTGGGCAGCGTGTGGTTTTCTGAACATTTTATTGTTTTCTTTTGAGAGGAAAAATATTTAAAAAGACTCTTTGAAGGGCTTAGTCCCAGCTCCTTCCCCTAAAGGTATGTCTTCACTGCAATGTTAGCTTGAACTAACTCAGGTTTTGCCCCTAACCCAACTCTTGTCCACATATAACTCAAGCTATAGATTTTTAAGTGGTGCTTTAAACTCAAAGTAGCTTGTGGGTGTGGGGTTGAAACTCAAGTGCTGCTGATGCTTGCTAGTAATGCTGTGGGGATGCAGCAGCTCAAGTTACAACTCAGAAGCAGTTAATCCAATCACTCCACCTATATGTCTACTCTGCATCTGGAAACATGACTTGCAAAGTGGGTAGAAAGACTTGCACTAGCTTTGCTCGAGCTAGCACACCAAAAAAAATGTGATGGATATTGCAGCACAGGTGGCAGCTTGGGGTAGCTACCTGAGTCCAAGCTCAGCCACGCTTGAGTGGCTAGCCTGAGCTGCCACCCATGTTGCAACGGCCACACTGCGATTTTCAGCATGCTAGCTTGAGCAATGCTAGCACGTGTCTGTCTACTTGCATTGGGAGGCACACAGCCAGCTGCAGTGTAGATGTACCCTGTGCTGCTAATCAAAATTACACTCTGTGTAACTACATACAGTGTTGCTTAGCAGAGTGGTTGCTCTCATCAAGTTAAGCTAACTTTTGCAATGAAGACAAGCCCTAGACATCTTTCAGTCTCTCTGTTTTGTAGTGCCAGTATACTGCCAAGCTCATCTCTCACATTCACACAAAAATGCACACTCACACAAAAGAAAGACATTAAGAATCTGGGATAGTGTTAGTATGCAATCATCTGGGCAAAAATAAAAGAGTCCTTTTTTCCCACTGGAAATTTAAGATGCCAAGGCACTTACTGTTTTAAAAAGCTTTGAAGATGAAAAATTAAAAGTGCTAACCTTTTAAATTTTGAAATAAAAAAATGTTGGGATCTAGGGTTAACCTCAGTGTCCTCCCCAACATTTGGTCTCTGTGAAACAGATTTTAATGTCTGAGGGAATATGTGAGCTTTTGGCAGTCGTATAATGACAATTGTGTTTCTTATGTATTCATATTACCAATAGCTAATTTATTGCTTTATAAAGCACTTTTCTGTTCCACTTTATGAGATCAGGACATTTTGATCTGGTTTTGAACAGGATCAGTTCAGTAGCTCTGTTGCATCTGTATCTATAAAGCTTTGATGCTCCTGTCTTGGCAATGCAAAATTTAAATTTTTTTTTGGTAAATTAATTTAGTGTAAAAACTGGAGTTCTCTGTTTATCAACAGGTCAGATTTAGCCTGAGTAGAAACAGTTTTGGCTTCCCCACATCAGCTGAGCTTCAGTGTGCTTCAATCCTGATCTGCATGGAGTACCAGGGTGTAGAGTGGTTGTTTAGTTTGCATGCTCATCTAGTCCTTGAGATTACAATAGATACCCCCCTTCCCCCAAAAAAACCCCAAAAACCCAAACTGGATTGAGGCTACCAATTCAATGTTGATAGGGCCCTGCCTAGCAATCTAGATGGTGCTGGGCAGGCTCTTAACTTTATGCATTGTGAGTAGTCCCAATGAAATCAATGGACTACTCTTTGCATAGAGTTAAGCATGTTCAGTGGTGCTGGAACAGTTTTTATAGTGGAGCTGCTGAAGGCGGAAACCATGTATTTGGGTTGGGGGATGGGGGTGCAGCAGGATGGGGGTGCAGCAGCACCCCTAGTTCCAGCACCTATGAGCATGTGTAAGTCTTTGCTGGATCAGGATCTAAACTATTGCACAGGAGTGAACCCTTATGCTCGTGTGGAGCCTATTAACTGCATAAAGGCCAACCTGTGTAGAACAGTTTGCAGGACTGGGGCCTAAATATCCTTTGTAAAGAATCTTTTCAATTCATGTAACTCTTGTAAAACTAAATTATAAAGTTTCATAGAAATGCCATGCATTTAATTCCTATTTCATAAAAATGTTGTTTAATATGAACACAGAACATTTTTTAAGTCACACAAATAACTTAAGAATACGGGGTATTAAAATGCCATTGTTTTCAAATCTACTTTATAGGTTGCAGACTTGGGATGTGCTGACTGTACATTACTCTGGATGCTGAAATTCTGCAAATGCATTGAGGTGCTAGCTGGGCTAGATATCAGGGAGAATGTGATGAAGGAGAAAATGTAAGATGCTTTTTGCATTATTTTTCTTAATAATTCAGTATTTGGTTCAGCCTAACAGCATGTTGCAGCAGTAGTTGTCAAGAGATTCAGCATAAGGATAAATGTAAAGTTATGAACTATTTGGTATGTAAAGATTGAGTATATTGGGAATTGGTATGGTGGTTTTGTAAAACTACTGGTATGCCATATGCTATTGTTGGCATCAAATCTGTTTATGTTCTTATGTGGCACCCATCACTATGATTAGCTGAGCACTTCCCAAAATTGACATTTGCATAAGTTATATTTTGCTCTCTTTTCTTTCCAATCAATATGGATTGGACTTTGTTGTTTCTGTTTTTATTGTGGGAAGGTGAGGTCAGAGAAATGGGGTTTGTATTTTGCTGAGAAGGCACAGGGGGGTTGTGGTTATATGAGCTCTTCAGGACTGAGTTCCAAATTTATGGACCAGTTGGTGAAAAAACTGTTTCCTGAACACAAAAGTTGAAGTTGAAAGTACCATTGCTCCAGTGATAGCTGCAGGTTATAGATTGTACCACACACAAGTTTTCTTGGTGGTGGTTATTTACATGGGGTGAAGGAGCTTTGCATTTATTTATTTTATTACTGTATATGTTATTTGATAATGTATAATTTAGAAACAAAATTTAAAAGGAAATTTACAAATGTCTTCAATAACCAATTTATTTTGGTTATTTTGTTTTGAAAGGAGGTTAATATGCATGCATAGTAACTTTTTAATTGGAAATTATAAGGATTGTTTTTTTAGTTTTGGTTTGGTTTTTGTAAGCATCTCAGTTTGCTATGTTTCTGGAACTCTGTTGGCATCAAAGCTGACAAAAGCATCTCTTATGTTCAAAGATATCTGGCAACAAAGTAGGATTTTTGCAATCTTGGAGGACTATTGCTGAAGTCCAATTCTTCCTTTACTTTCTTGTCTTATTGTAGATAGTCATGGCAGGTGGCTGTTAATTTGCATTAGGTTTGTTTCTTTTTCCAACGAACAATAAGAGGCACTTCATAGATTCCAAGGACACCCCACATACTTCCATTTTTCAATTATGGGTTCTACCTATGTCCAGGTCAAACTGCCTTTGAAGGGAAGAAATCACAAGCTTTTTTTGGCCCCCCCCCTTTTTTTGCCATATCAATTCACAAGAAATATGATAGGTTAACACAGAAAGAAGCAAAGAACTTCAAAGACAGTATGTTAGTTGGAAACAAAGCAAAAGGCAGCTAAGAATGCTGCTTTCTTGTCCGCTTCCTTCCCCCATACTTTAATAGGTTTGGTGTGAACTTAGAACTGTACTCTCCTGATTGGTTGTGCAGTCTTCTCTTCAAGGTTGAGATTTGGCCCAGGTTCTCTTCTGCAATACACATGGTGAAAGACTCTCTAAGGTCAGGTCCTATAAAAGGGCTCAGATTTTTTTTTTTTAAATTCTGTATCAGTTCTCACTTGAGGCTTCATCACAGTCAAGGTTTCAGGCTCCACATTTAACTTAAATGTTATTTTTTCTGTATAGTTGTGAAGCTGAGCGTTCATCTGCCATTTTTTCCTGTATCAGTCAACTACTGCAGGAACCATTTGTCAAACCCCCATTGTCCTGTGCAGTCCACATAGGACACTGTAGTTATGTTTTAGTCTTTTTACTATCTCCAGGCTGCAGTGATTGGGTAATAAGGAAACATGTATGAAGAATCTTCATAATTTCAAAAGAAAAACAAAGTAAAAATAAGTTTTGGGTTTCAAATCATCAAGGCAAAACATCTAAGCTGATTTTTTTTCCAGTCAGGAACTTATTGTTGGTCCCATAGATTTTAAACATTATCATAATTTAAAGATGGAGCCTCAGCTTGTGCACTTATTTATAGATTTCAATTAACTTCAGTCTTTACATAGTAGGTTTTTCTTTTGTTTGCTTCCTTTAAGTCTTGGATGTCTATTGACACACTCAGAAGATTATTGATTTATTGATATTTTTCTATGTAAGGGACTGCAGTGATTCCATCTCAAAAATCATCTCGTAGTAAAAATGGTCTTTAATTAAAGACAGAATTGTACTGGAAACTGTTTTGTCTGTTAAGAGGTACTTATCCTCGGTAAAAAGTTAACTTTAATGTTTTTTAGGAAGATTGAGTCATATTAATTGTTCAGCACCAAACAATTACAAATGCGTACTTATCCTTTTGTCTTGCATGTTCCTGTACCTGTTTGTTGCAGAACACGCTCAACTCCCATTGAAATCAACAGGAGTTAAGCGTATACAGCTTCTTACGGGAGGCCCTTATTAAGGACAGACTCAGGACAAGAATCTTGTCTCAACCAGATCCTTCTTGTATTGTGTTACAAATTGAGTGAGGTTCCAATTTACTCAGTACTTAAAGAAACCTCAGATTAGTCACTTTAATTGATTTTATTAAATAATTTGTTAGTCAGAGCATAACAGAAAGGTACATTGTCAAGTCTGTGAGAACTGCTCCTTGCAGCCTAATGATTAGCTTGACCTATTTGTCTGGTTCTAATTTTGCTTACAACATGGCATATTTTATACAGGAATTGTTTACAGTTTCATTTTTTTAATTTCCTCTTTTTCACAGACAGACTTTTTTTTTAGCATATTTACAAACTTTCCAATAAATCTCCAACTGCATGATCAAACATCTGTTATTTACTTACTGTATTTTTCTAACCTAAATATCTGGTATTTGTTGGGGTTAGTGAAGAATATTGCTAACAATATTTATTCTTATTTAACAATTCCTGAGCTAATAATTTCTAGCAAGCTGGCATTTTCCTCCTCTTAGCACAACTACATAGCATATGGGTACACTTGCTCACATAGCCAAGCTAATAGCCTTTATAAGGATATAGAGTTTTTAGGTCAACAGCTGTTTAATTTTGAATGTTTTCCTAGGCATAGGTTGTCTCCCCTTCCTGCTGATTATCTGCAACCAAGTGAAAGATCTCTAACTGTGACCCTGCATCATGGCTCAGTTGCTCATAAAGATCCTTGCATGCTTGGTTTTGACTTGGTATCGTGCATTGAATTGTGAGTATTAAGCTTACGTACTCGGTTTGTTTACCTTAACCAAAAGAAGGCTGAGGGGGGATATGATTGCTCTCTTTAAATATATCAGAGGGATAAATACCAGGGAGGGAGAGGAATTATTTCAGCTCAGTACTAATGTGGACACGATCACAAATGGATATAAACTGGCCGTCGGGAAGTTTAGGCTTGAAATTAGACGAAGGTTTCTAACCATCAGAGGGGTGAAGTTCTGGAACAGCCTTCCGAGGGAAACAGTGGGGGCGAAAGACCTCTCTGGCTTTAAGATTAAGCTTGATAAGTTTATGGATGGGATGGTTTGATGGGATAACGTGATTTTAGTCAATAGGTCAATAACGTGCCATCGCTGGTAATTAGTAACAATGGTCAATGATGGGATATTAAAAGTTACTACAGAGAACTTTTTTCCGGAGGGTCTGGCTGGAGAATCTTGCCCGCATGCTCAGGGTTCTGCTGATCGCCATATTTGGGGTCGGGAAGGAATTTTCCTCCAGGGTAGATTGGCAGAGGCCCTGGAGGTTTTTCGCCTTCCTCCGCAGCATGGGGCAGGGGTCGCTTGCTGGAGGATTCTCTGCGACTTGAAGTCTTTAAATCATGATTTGGGGACTTCAACAGCTGAGTCAAGGGAGAGAATTATTCCAGGAGTGGGTGGGTCAGCTTTTGTGGCCTGCATCATGCGGGAGGTCAGACTAGATGATCATAATGATCCCTTCTGACCTTAAAGTCTATGAGTCTATGAGTACTCAAATTTTTCTTATCCAACACGTTGTAAATATAAATATTCATAGAGCAGAATTCCATGTTTCATTCTGTTCTTCCTTTGCATTGTACTTTGTAATGTGGCAAGACTCACTGAGGTCAGGAGGGTTGAAATTAGAGTTTAAAGCCTTTACTCTTAGCAAACTTGTTCAATCCTGTACATTTAACACTTTCATAATTCAAATGGAAGATTAGCAAGATGTGGCTGACTTTTCTAAAGTGTGAAGTTAATCATATTAGGAACCTGGGGCAGTGTGTGTCGATAGAAGGGTGAAAAAAAGTATGAAAGAGGGAGAGATTATGAAAAATAGTAAAGAATCCCCTTCGACAACTTATATTTATTCACTTTGCAGCACATGACTAAAATATTAGGACATACATAGTCTAGTTGAATTGATTGTAGAGAAAGTCAAAAGACCCTGTGAGACTTTAAGGACCTATGTAATCCTATCCTTTTCAGAATAGAGCACCTGGAAGCAGCAGAACTGGAAAAGTTTCCAGAAGTGGTATTCGGTTTTATGGCTCCAGCCATGGTTGTAATCAGCACTCCAAACTCAGAATTTAACCCTTTGCTCCCAGGAGTGACACTGTTCAGACATTCAGACCATAAATTTGAATGGGACCGAGCACAATTTCAAAGTTGGTGAGTTTGCTAGTTACTGTACATTACATTATTTGTACTCAAAACAGTAAAAAGCAATGGTAGAGATTTACTTTTTAAATACAGTTTATGTGTGAGGGTGGTTGGTGTGTTGAAAAGTGAGTGTCTTGGGCCCAACTAGGGATAATATGTTAATGAAATCCTTGTATACTGTTACATTAAACAGATAAGTGTGGGCTGGGTTTTGTGTCAAGTTGCCACTGGCTTACTCTCATTGTAACAACAGTTGTAAAAATCTTAAACTTTTGGGTAAATATACAGAAAAAGAAGGAAAAACAGCTAAAACATTTGAAATGTGAAGTTTTAAGTAAGATTTTCATTTTAACAATATCCAATTTTCCCTTTAGCTGTAGAGAGTTTTTTGTGGGTAAAATACCCTGTTTTGACAGTCTTGGATGGTAGTAAATATGGTAATAACTGTCCTTTTTTGGGAAAAGAGAAGAATTTAGTTGTTCTGATTAGGAGCTGTTGTTGTTTAAAGTCCAGTCCTGTTTCCTTGAAGACAAAACAAGACAAACACACACAAATGGGAACAGAAAAGAATACCAAATATAGAAAATGCAGCTTCTGTCTCTGGTGCTGACTCTCACTTGCAGCTTCACTACTGGAGAAACACAGGTGCATATCACATGCTCTTATCAGCCAGTCCAAGGCCTGGCAAAATGGTACCAGCTTTGGGTTGTTTGGGGGATTGCTTTTAGCTGCCTCACTAGTTGTGAGCTCACAGCTGTGTTGCAAAAGATGCAGGCTAAACCAGACTCTTATTAAACAGAAGGCAAAAAAGAGAGATAGAAAAGAGGAAGAAATAAGTTGCAAGAAGGAAAAGAACTCACAAGGGAAAGGGTGTGAGCAGGTAGTATTCAGGATTTCTGGTGGTGGCAGCGGTTCTCTCTCTCTCTGGCCTTTTCTGGTCAGGATGTTTAAGAACATAAGAATGGCCATACTGGGTCAGACCAAAGGTCCATCTAGCCCAGTATCCTGTTTGCCAACAGTGGCCAATGCCAGGTGCCCCAGAGGGAATGAACAGAACAAGTAATCATCAAGTGATTCATTTCCTGTCGCTCATTCCCAGCTTCTGGCAAACAGAGGCAAACACCATCCCTGTCCATCCTGGCTAATAGTCATTGATGGACCTATCCTCCATGAATTTATCTAATTCTTTTTTGAACCCTGTTATAGTCTTGGCCTTCACAACATCCTCTGGCAAGGAGTTCCACAGGTTGACTGTGTGTTGTGTGAAGAAATACTTCCTCTTGTTTGTTTTAAATTGTTGCCTATTAATTTCATTTGGTGACTCCTAATTCTTGTGTTATGAGAAGGAGTAAATAACACTTCCGTATTTACTTTCTCCACACCAGTCATGATTTTATAGACCTCAATTTTATCCTCCCTCCCCCCTTGTTTCTCACAATCCAGACTATGAAGGCCCAATATGTCATAGTGGGTCCCGGGAGACGGTGTGGGTGGCAGCCAGAATGGTAAAGCTCGTTCCTTCTAGTCCATCCATGCCCATAATACTACCATTCAGTGACACTCAGATAAACTACATACAAAAAGGTGTGCCAATCTCATCCCATTAACATTAATCAATCAAAACACATTTCACTGTAAACATTTCCTCTCATTTCTAGAAATTTGCACCTCATTATCTCAACCTGTGACCTACTAGGAGCCTCCAAGACTACTTCTGAGGGAATTCTGTGCCAAAAAATTCTATGCACAATATTTTAAAATTCTACATATTTTATTTGTCAATAAATAAATGTGGAGGCTCCAGAATGGCAGTGGGGAGCACTGGCCATTGTCTGCAAGGAGGTGGGAGATCACCCTGCAACCTCTGCCCCCCAATACATGGATTTGGTGGTGAGGCTGCAACAGACCCCGACACAGTGCAAGGGCCAGGCCTGCCCCAGGATCACCCTGGGGCCCTGCCCTTCCACGCCAGGTACACCAGGATAGCTAGCGAGAGGGACAGAGTCTCGCAAGCATGCCCAGCCCTGGTCCCCAATCCAGGTGAGGCTGGCTCAGCCCGGCAGGATCCAGGTGGGGATCCTGGTGTGGAGTGAGAGGGTTCTCTGTGGGGCAGTTGGGTGTGAGCGGTTCAGTGTGGGGATCTGGGTGCAGAAGGGGATCTTGTTGCTTGTTGGGGGGGTTCCAGGTGCAGGGGGAATGGGACTCTGCAGGGGGTACAGGTGCAGGTAGTTGGGGCTAAGTAGGAGGGGTGTCTGGGTTTGGGGGGCTCAAGAGGCGGGGGGTCTGGGTGCTGGGGGAGTGGGGCTTGGAGGGGTGAGGGTCCTGGTCATTGGAGCTCAGTGTGGGAGTCCAGGTCATTGGGGCTCAGTGTGGGTGTCCAGCTGCAGTGGGAGTGGAGCTCATCAGGATGGGGTTTGAGTTCGGAGGGCTCAGAAAGGTGTGGTCTGGGTGCAGGGGTGCGGGTGGATGCAGGGAGGAGGGGCTCGGCAGGTATACAGATGCAGGAGGGTGGAGCTTGGTGGGGTGGGGTTCAGGTGCGGGGGGAGTGAGACTCAGTGGGGGGTTGGATATGGGGGGGGGTGTCCGGATGCATGGGGTTGGGTGGATGGGGGAGCAACTGCCAGCATACAGTGACTCCTTACCCCGCGGTTGAGGAGCGATGGGTACAGGAAGTGTGTGTGTGTGTGTAGCTTCCTGCAGCTGGGGGAGGTTTCTGGGGATGGGTCTGACCCGTCCCCTCCTTGCAGTGGAAGAGGAAGTCCTCTCCTCCTCAGCCCAGCTGGGACTAGCAGCTGAGCCCGTAGGAGCCATTAGCCAGGGCGTCCCCAGCTCCCCTCCCCACCATGCTGATACCTCTCCACTGGGTGCCTGAAACAATGCACCCATGGTGCTGGGGAGGGCCTCTTATCACAGTTCTTTTAACCTAACCAATTCAGTTTGAACCAGTCGATTTGTCTTTACCTTTTGCTGACAATTTTAGGTAACAGATTGAATTGGACTTCTGTTATCTTGGACAACTTAAGGTAAAGGACTTTGCACAGCAATGTGAAAAAATACTTAAATAAAAATAAAACCATCTCCCAGGTTATTATATTGTTACGGTTCTAATTTAAATTGGGAGATTCTCATGTCTGTCTTGGAAACTTTTTTCCATAACTACTTTTATTTATTTTTAGTAACTGCTGTATGAACTGGTATTCTGGCTTTGAATTTTCTGAGGCTTGTGGTCTGCAATTCATCCTTCTGTTAACTATACATCTGTGATGGTTCTTGTTTGAGTGATGGTCCCTATTGTATTCCTCTCAGGGTTATGTGCATGCACTATGTGCCTAGAGCCAGAGCTTTTTCAAAGGACTAATGTCTGTTGGTCCGTGCATGCGCCTTTGCACGGCCTTGTGGTTTCGCCCAAGGCGACCGTGTCTTCAGTTCCTTCTCACCACTGCATGGTCTGAGTTGGAACTTCTGCTGGTCTCTTGTCTTTGGTGATGCATTTTCCAAACTTTTCAGGAAAAAAATGTTTTGATTTTTGTACGTAGTCAGGATTCTTACAGTTTTCATAGTAGTTTTCTTGTTTCTAGAGTTTTTGTAGGTTTAAGGGCTGGGAACACTGCTTTGGCAGTTTCCTGCCAAACAATTCCTAAACCATCCCTCTCTGCTCCCCCAGTGTCCAGTTTTGGATACTGTATATAGTCAAGGGTTGTTGTTTTTTGCTGTTTTTGTAGTACTGTAATTTTCTTCTTTCTGAAAGTTCTGGTATGCTTAAAGACTTTGGGTGCCGCTTTTGCAGTTTCCCACCAAATTATCTTCATCCCACCATCCAGGTTGAGATACTGGATTATGCTGAAAAGGCTGGGATTCAAAGTCTGTAGTTCCTGCCCTCATCGGTTTTCCCTCAGTGATGAGCATCAATGTTGTCTGTACTGTTTGGGGGTAACCCACACTACGTCCAGGTACAGTGTCTGCCTCTCCTTCCCTGCTCGTACTTGGGAAAGCAGTCTTCCGTCTTAAGAAGCACCTCATGGAAGTCGCCATGGGGCCACAGATCCCCCCCCATACACCTGCCTGAACAGTCCAAGAGTGTGCCTCCTACTGTGGAGCCTGAGTCTGGCTCTGCTGGTACAAGTGCTATGGACCCCGCACCAAGGCCTAGCCATGGGTCACGGAAGCATGTGCATAAGCATGGCAGGAAGTCCTCCCCTTGAACAGTACTGAATGCACTTGGTACCAATGCATGCAAAATGTCTAGTACAGTAACTCCTCACTTAAAGTCGTCCCGGTTAACATTGTTTTGTTGTTAAGCTGCTGATCAAGTAGGGAACATGCTCGTTTAAAGTTGTGAAATGCTCCCTGTAGCGGGGTGGTCACCCGCTCCTGTCCTGAAGGGCAGGACTTGGTGCCCATTCACAAGACGTCACCCTTGTTGACTGGTTGGACCGAATCAACTACATCTTCCCTCCCCTACCAGTCTTGCCACGTGTCCTTCACAAACTCTGACAGGAGAGGGTGATGGTCATCCTGATCGCTCCATTCTGACCTTGCCAGTTCTGGTTTCCTCTTCTTCTCCATATATTGAAGCATCCTCCCCTCCCGCTACCGACTTTTCTGGTACTGCTCACACAACATAACGGCAGACTGTGTCACCCCGATCCACGGATGCTTCACCTGACAGCTTGGTTTTTGGATGAACACCTCTGCTAGCACAGGAGTGTTCGTCAGCAGTATGAGATGTCCTCTCAAATAGCAGGAAGGACTCCACAAGACAATCCTATCAAGCCAAATGGGCACGTTTCACTTCTTGGGCCCAACAGAGAGGTCTTGTTCCTGAGGCTGTGGACATCCCAATGCTCATAGATTATTTCCTCCATCTGAAAACCTCAGGGTCGTGCTCAGCTTCATCAGGGAGCACGCAGCAGCTATTACCACTTTCCACCCTCTGGTAGAGGGACATTCGGGTTTTTACCCATCCTCTGACGGATTCTGGAAGGGCCTTGTATGTAAATACCCGCCCA